ATTTATTTACTTAATATATTTTTTCAAAAAATTAAATATAAAAAAAACTGATAAAAATTTGCAACTAATTATATATAAAAATGATCAATATTGTACTCTACTCTTAAGTGCAGTTTAGTTATAAAAATGTAATCAGATATTTTGTTTGATGAGTAACAAATTAGTAATAAGTTCATTAGATAGTTTTATATTAAAGAAGTAAATAGATTAATGATAGTGATTAAGAATGCTATTAATAGCTTGAATAGAATGTATTATAAGAGTAATACATCTTTTGTTAGCAGCTTGGTTAATTTGTTAGCAGAGTAGAAAAGAGTTTTCAAGATAATAGATATAAAAAAGTTGTTTTTAAATAAAATAAGAATGTTGGAACTATACTAGAATACAAGATAGAATTTTTTATATAAAAATTGTTTTAGCTTCTAGTAATGCTTTTTTTTTATAGAATTTAAGTATTGCAGAATAGTTAGAAAATTTATTGTAAGTATAGTCAAAATATGTAATGATACATACAAGAAAGTTAGTATCAATAAGTTTAAATGTAAGAAAATTAATAGTCTGTTGTTTGTCTATTTTGTTAATGCTGTGGTTTTTTGTAGCAATATTTTGATAAATAGTTAGATATTGATAAAAATAAAAAGCTTGCTATTTTGAATTAGTCCTAACAAAATTAGCAAAATAAATATACTCTTCTGCTTTTGCTGCTAATTTATCTAAAACTGTAGTAAAGATTTGTTTGATGAATGTGGCTTTGTGTTTTTCTTTAATATAGAATATTAAAGCATCAAAAAAGAGTTCATTTCAGGTTTTAATTTCTTTTAGATAAGTGTTGTATAATGTATTAAATATATTTTTAATAAGTTTGATTGAGTTGTATATAAGTTGTGACTTAAAGTTTGTTTTTTGAGTATTGTTAAATTTAATTTCAATTTCAGATTCTTTTTCTTTATTAAACTCTTTTTCTTTATCAGACTCTTTTTTCTTATCTTTAGTTGTAACTAACTCAAGATAAGTCTATACAGGTAAGTATATAATAGTTGATATATCTAAAGGTTTTATTATATCTTTCATGAAGACTAGTTAGTTTTTTGAACTCAATGATAGTAGGTTGGAGCTTCTTAAGATGAGTAATAAAATGTTGACTAAATTCATACTTAAGATAGTTTTGAACTTTAGATTTGTTAATAATACTAAAGAATTGATAATTGTATATAAAAAAATTTTTTTTAAACTATTTATTAAAATAGTCAAATAAATTTTTTAAAGATGATATATTGTATTTTTGAAGAATAAGATTTTAGAAAAGTTGAAATTAAGTTTAATATTAAAACAATTATCTATTTTAATAAAAAGAAACTGATGTTATTTATTAATTTTAGTAATCTCTAATATTATATTAAATCTTTTAGATCTTAGTTTAATATCTTCTATGAATTTAGTATAGTTAATTGCTTAATAGTTATCAAAAAAATATAGGTGAATTTGGGTAAAGTTAATATAAAATTGTAATTAGTTATGAGTTTGAATAAATAGAATAATAACAGAAGAAACAAATATTTTTAAATAGTTAAGTTTAGTAAAAAAGACTATTGTAAATATAAGAATAAATTTTTTTAATGTTTCTTCAAGAATATTAAATATATTGTAGCAGCTTTATTATTGTTAGACTTATATTGTTAGATTAAGTTAGTAAAAAATTGAGGTCTAGCACTAGTCATTTGTCTAATTAATAGATAAAAGCTTGCTTTAAATAAATCTTGATTTCTAACTACTTCTTTAATAATTTTATCAAGATAAAAGTTATGAAGATGTTCCTTCAAAAGTTAAAGAGTTTTCAGGATATCTCTATTTGTAACTTTGTATAATTTTTGTATTTTATCAGTAACTGGAAAGTTTGCTAAGAAATTATATAATAGATTAAGTTTGAATCTTGTTCTTGACTATAAGATTGAATCAGTTGAGATTATTGAGAAAGTTTTTTGTTAAACTGTTATTTCTATAGAAATAGTAAAGCTTGATATAAAGATTGTTGTTGTTATTGTTATTGAGTTTATTGGATTTGTAGTTGCTGTTATTGTAATTTAGATGATATAATAAAGCTATCAATGTTCATGTTATTGTTAATAGTGTTGTTTCTTCAAAGTTAGATGAAATAAATATGTTCTGAGATAAGAGAATTATTTAAATTTTGATCAATTAAAGAAATAACAAACTGTTAAGTTAGAAGTTTATGTTATGAAAATGAACCTTGTTTAGAGTTTTCACATATGGGTGGATTTTGGAATTTTGGTAATATTTATGGATAGGATCTACCAATCAGTTAAATAAAAATTGTGATTATTACGAATTTGGCATACATTAAATTTAGTTTATTGGTTGATATATTTAGCACAATAATCTCAATAGTTAAAAGTGCTTTTTGCTTTTACAAAACCACAGGCTTTATTTTTTAATCTTGAGGCTTGAAATTCTCATATTTATATTCAACAAGACCCAAAGTTCAAAGAACCAAAAATAGGCATAACTTTTACTAGTAACAATGCCAAGAGGTTCTTCGCATAAAAATGCAGGACTATGTGTAATATGCAGCAAAGATGATATTGGAGAAAGGTTTCTCAAACTGACATCAAATGTTTTGCCTAAAGCTATGCAAAGTCAAGCTGTTTCGAAGTTAAAGGTAGAACTTAAATTAGATGACCAGCTATGTCATAAATATTATAATAAGCTAATAGCATTCGATAGAAACTTTTCAAGCCTATATAAAAAATGAAAATATGGATCAAACTTAGTTTATAACATTCAAAAAATGCATACTAAAAAAATAGATTCTAATGAACAACTCAATGTTGGTAATTGGTTTCAAAGTGTCATAGACATCTGTAATGATGAAAAAAGAGCATTTGGGTGGTACTTAATATCTGTTAGAGGTAGAAGTTCTGATGAAAAATTAAGTATTGGAAAGTGCTATCAAAATGGCATAGGCCTTCCTAAAGATAAAAAAAAAGCATTCAAATGATATATAAAATCTGCTTGTGATGGAAATCCAGATAAACAATTAAATGTCAGAATTTGTTACCAAAACGGTATAGGCATCTCTAGAGATAAGAAGAAAGCATTTGAATGATACTTTAAATCTGCTAGTAGTAGACATTCAGATGCATAATTAAATGTTGGAAATTGTTATCGAGATGATATAGGCATTCCTATAGATGAAAAGAATGCATTTAAATGGTTCATGAAATCGGCTAGTGATGAAAATATAGATGGGCAATTAAATGTTGAACATTGTTATCGAGCTGGTATTGGCATTCCTAAAGATGACAAGAAAGCATTCAAATGGTACTTGAAATCTGCTAGTAGTGATAATTTAGATGGCAATTAAATGTTGAAAATTGTTACAGATATGGCATAGGCACTCTTAATGATGAAAAAAAAGCATTTGAATAGTACTCAAAATCTGTTAATAATGAAAACTCTAATGGGCAATTAAGTTTATACTGAAGTAGCATAAATCCTAGTAAAAAAAATAGTAAAAAGCAGCCTTTTTCAGATATTCAAACAATAAGAGAACAAAACAATTGTCTTTTTGCTTTTGGCAAAGATTCAGAAAAAGAACTTTTAGCATTAACTACATGACACCAGTTGATTACAGGAAATGGACAGCCTATTTTTCGTATACATAACATTCAATTATTAAATTTTAATAATGAAATTATTAATTTAAATTATCAGCCATTTAACAAAAAAGTAGACATTTCCAAGCTAGATGCTATTGTTCAGGCGTGTGATGAATCTTTAGTATCTCGAAATAGTTATTATCGATTGGCTGCTATGGAACCCCAGCTTATTCATGAACACCATGTTGCAATACAAAGAATAGAGATAACAGATCTAATAAATAAAATGATTAAGATCGGAACTTTTAGTATTGATAATAATTTAAATAGTCAACCTTGTATTCAAGGTGAAGGAATAGTGTTTGATTATAAAATTGGAAATGATGCCTATAGATCAATTAGATCTATCTTAACTGTACTTTTTTCTATTTGGAAGCGATCTTCACCTCTTACACTTATCCCAGGAGACATAATTAAACTAAAACTTAGAGGTGATGGCCACAATGTTGGCTAGAAGCAGAACCATATAATGATAACTGTTTGTCTTCTAAATGAAGGTAATAATGTTTTAAAACATAATAATCAATATTGGTAAGTTTTATAACTTTAACTATATAATATTTAATTATTAAAGTTAATTAATTTAATTATTCTATTTAAGTATTTGCCTGTATGCTGGCTATGAAAAATATGATGTGCTGGTGAAGATCAGACATATATTTGAATACAAGCTCTTTGATCTTAGAAACAATGGTTTTTTTGATAGTAATGGAATTTGTTGGCTTATAGAATTATATTTTTGTGAAAATTAGAAGTTTATATATATAATCATGAAATTAAATGCTTCTAATACCAATTATTTTTGTCTATATTGTAATTGTGATATTGAATCGCGATGGGATATGAATCATGTTTAGAAAAATACTAGAAATTCTAAATGTAAGTAAATTATACTATCTTCTAGATTACAGTACGATTTCCCAAAGGTTATTTCCTCAATAGCCACTTACCTAACATTACACAGTATGATAATCTGCTAAAAATGTATAATCACAACTAATCAAATGCTAATTCTAATCCTACGTGATGTTAGGTAAATGTCTTGTTGAGAAAATAACTTTTGAGTGAATTAAGCGACAATCATCTTATCTTTTAAGGCATCGTATAGGGCTTATTAATTTTAAATTAATATTTCAATTAGGTAAAAAAACTATACCTATTTCCTGCAATTGATCAAGAAAATTATATTCCTGATGAATTGCATTTACTTTTACATATATCAGATATTTTAATGAAATGTTTTTTTGCTGATTTATTCAAAAAAAAAGAATTTGAAAAACAAGTTAAACCAGCAATTAAAGCAATATTTAAAGATCTCACAATTTCATTTGAATTTTTTAAATCCACAATTAACAAATAGAATTGGACCTTATTGATGAGTTCAGATAAAAAAAAAATGCTAAAAAATTTTCCAGTATCACAATTTATTTCTGATATATGGGGACAAGATATTGAACAATTGTGGTATGAATTTTATCAATTATATAGTATTCTACAGCAACCTCAACTTTCTGATCAAGTCTATCAGTATAAAGTTGATGCAGAAAACTGGGTTTGAACTTTTTGCTATTCATCTCAAGGTAATGTAAATTCTTCACAAAAATGTAGACTTTATCGAAAGGCAGATGTTATGCCATATATGTATGTATTTGCGAAACATGTACCTATATTTATGCAGCAATTAAAGGCAAAAGGTCTCTCTTTACAAATTTTTTCTATCTCAGCTATAAAAAAAAAAAATCATAAGCAGGTAAATATACTTTGAATAAAATTGTCTTTATAAAATATTTTAATAATTTTACTATTAGATTCGATTGTTTTTTGGTGATACCACTATGGAAGGAGGAAGCAAAAAAATGTCTGTTGTTTATGATATGATGTCTTATGAAAATAAACAATTTTTTTATTTAATTAACAATATTTCCACAGAAATTACTATTCAAAATATTCATATTTATAATAAGGAAAATTTATTAAATTAAATAAAGTAAATAGCTTTTTTGTATAGATTTTATCTATGTAATTTTAAATGCAATCTTTTGTTATATGCTTGTTGCATAATCTTAACAGTTATATAATTTATGCATGTTATATTTTAATTTATTAATGTTTTAACTATTTAGCATTCGAAGAATATTTTAATTCATTAAAAAAAACCAAATATTGCAAATTTTAGATAATAAATAAAACATCTATAACATCAAACTCAATTGCTTATAGAATGCTAGTGTGACAGGTTTTATAGTCAAGTTTAGAAATAAGGCAAATGCGATGAATCATTGCTTAAAAATGAATTATGCCACATAACATTCCTCAAAAATAATAGAGATGGTTTTTCGATCTGGCACAAGGTCGAGGTGATCAACAAGAGACGTTATAAGATAAGTGCAATGATTTTAAGAAGCGTTAATATATTTTATAAGATAAAAGAGCTTTATTAACTTTATTATTATTTATAAGAGTAATACAACTATAGAATTATATTATTATACTATTCTGGGTGGTTCTGAACTCTTCTTTTTGGAAGAGAGAAATTCTACCCTTTTTATAATGAATTGATCATGAGAAAAGCATGCACAAGACCATGACTCTTCTCATTGTTTTTATTGTTTTCCAACCTTTTTTTGTTCTAACCTTTAACCCCTTCTACACAGCCTTTCATTAACATTTCTCACAGCCTTCATAGAACTGATGAGAAATGTTTCAGTTTCACTATCCTGGGGCCAAAACCCATTATATTGTCTTCAATTGCACCCTCTTTGACATCACCTCACACCTAACCCATGTAGAGTAGGTGGAGTCAATGTCTATTTCCAGTATGAACAGGTTGGTTCAGGTCAATCTTTCTTTATTTGGAGGAGGTGGTGGGGTCCTGCATAGAGGCTTGTGTACTATGATATGGCTTTTGTGGGGCCAGGTGCACATGTTTCAAATGGATCATCATGGGCACCTCCAATTAGGTAAGTATGCCATAATAACATCCATTTTGCAGGTTCTATGAGGTATTGGTTTTACCTCTAACATTAGTATAGTTCGAACTTTTTTAATTTTTATAGATGTAATATAAAATCTAACTTCTACAACTTTGGAGTAATTTTTTAGGAGATTTCAAGCAAAAAACTACTGTTTCAAAGCTTTGAGTGCTCTGCTTTTATATATACCAAGAAAATAAAAAGAGGCAATAGAAGGTACACAATTTCAATATTTTGAACTTTACAATGTTAGGATAATGGACCTACTAATCATACAGAACAATTTTTATAAACTTTGAATCAACATTATTCTTTGGGCACTGGTCAAGAACAGAAGGAACCATCGATGTTATATGACTGATCTTTCACCTGGTGTGCAACATATAAAAAAATTATTTTACAATACCAGATCATTCTGCTAGTACATGTTATGATTACTATTTTTATTATAATAAAATGATGTTAGATTATAATCATAACATGTACTAGTAGAATGATCTGGTATTGTAAAATAATTTTTTTATACATTGCATACCAGGTGAAAGATCAGTCATATAACATTAATGGTTCCTTCTGTTCTGGTCAAGATGCGATTCTTCTCAAGTCATTAGGACAATACAAAGGCTTATATAATTCGATTAAAATTGTACCATTCTATTCTATTTATCTAATACAATCAATTCAAACTTTATAAAGAAATTCTTGAGAGCAATCAGTATAGTATTGAAAATTAAAAAATTATTTCAATGATCTTTATTACAGGTATGGATTGAAAATTTTAAATGAATTAACAAGATCACTTTGCATAAACATCATGCTAACTTCTTTGAATCTTAGTAAGAATAATCTTGGATTAAAAGAATGAATAGCATTGGCTAATAAGCCTTTCAAGAGCATCATGCTGATTTCATTTAATCTTTGTCATAATCAATTTAGACAGAAGAGGAAAAAGCATCATCACTTTACAAGAAAACTATATTGATTTCTTTAAATCTTAATGGTAATTATCTTGAATCTAAATGAGAAAAAGCGTTAGTAGATACACTTTGCTAGATCATTATACTAATTACTTTAACTGGTAAAATTTTAAAAAATCACTATGTTGAATAACATGATTTGAATACCACTCAAACTGCCATTTGAACTGTCATTCAACACTATTATATGATTTTACGAACATGTATGTCTGTAAAATAATATTATAGTGTTGAACGGCAGTTTGAGTGATATTTAAATCATGTTATTTAACATAGTAATTGTTTTAAATTTTACTAGTATTTGGATCTTAATCTAATAGCTCTGATCAGAAGAAGAAAAAAAGCATTAATAAATATGCTTTGCAAGAATACTACTCAGATTTTCAATATAATAACATTTTAAAACCAAATAATCTTAATATAGAAAAGTTACACGTATAGCCAATTGTACACTCTCCTGTAGTAGTTCATTGAACCACAATACTGATAAGTGATTAATAAAAGTCAAAAAGACCAAAGAGGTCACCTTAATACCAAAAAAAAAAAAAAAAAATCAAATAATCTATTACAATAAAGTATAAAATAAACTGTGTATATAATATGCAGCCTATTTTAAAATCATTGACAATTTTAAGTTACATGTAAGAAACAATTCATAGCACAGAGTTTGAGATACTGAAAAATTGTGAAAAATTAGAAATTCTTCATCTTATGTATTTCTGGTATTACTATCCAGAACAGTTGAAATTGTTTAATTAAAATTAGCATTTTAGAGATAACTTGTTATCAGATTGATACATCAACCATAGCACAAATTTTATAAAAGTCTGACTTATTACTACAATAGCTAAAACCTAACTTATTAGATAGAAAAAATAATTATTTAAGTTCTATCTGAATATTATATATCTATACATTTTAGATATTGGATTTTCAAATTCTTATATAGACTAGACTGTCAGCGAAATGGTAGGTTATATCTAGTTAAATAATATATCAATGTGTAGTATGATTGGATTCCATTAAGTGTTATTTAGATAAGTTTTAATAATCTATATTAGCAGATTTTTGATAATGAACACCTTATAAATTTTATATACTAGAATCACTTTCAATCTTAATTCCATATTACAAACTGCATACATTTTATTAGAAATCTTTATAAAGCTTTGATAGCACATATCTATCCTTTTTTTTTTTTTATCCAAATTCTATTTAAATATTTTTTTTTGTCATATCTATTATATAAACAAACAATTCTTCTTTAAAAAAAAAATAAATAAATAAACAGCAAAACTACTAAAAATAAGAGAATATTAGTTACAATGTTTAGATAATTCCTTTTTTATTTGAAATTCTATAAAAAAGAAAATATCTATCTATATAACTATATCAATTAATAAATCTATAAAGTAACTCTTTCCATAGATCACTTATACCAAAACTACAAAAAAACATTTAATTATTTCTCAACTTTTTACTAAGTAAACC